GCTCCAGGAGATTCATTTAGCCCGGAGACATCTCACAGAGGTTACATATGCACTCACTTGCTATCCTGCAAAGCCAATCTATAGTTTCAGTGTTGACACCAAAGCTTGTTTGCTTTTTGCAACAACTCTGACACATAAAAAGCAGTGAGGTTAGATCCAAAAATTAAAGTTAATCAACATCACACAGTTAGCTGGCCGACTGTTTGCAATGAATAGATATGAAAGATAACAGCAAGATTAGGTCATGTTGAGCGAGTCAAAGGGGGAGTTCACTGTTGCTATTCGCTAACCTTATCAATGAATCATTAGCCAGCTCTTGCATCATTTATAAATAGTTGTTTTTTTTGGTTAGTATGCCGAGTTGGTCTTTTCATTATGTGCTATAAGACGCATTTCAAGAACCATCGCACATGACAAGCAAATAGAAACAGAAACTGAACTTGGCTAATGCTAAGCTAGCTAAGTTAGCATTGTTAGAAAAACAAGCTGTCAGAAAAGAAACAACAACAAACCATGTGGCTAATGCTGGCTAATGCCCCGCGAGCTCGCTTACCGTGAGATGCTTCTTGTCTCTCCTTTGGTGGAAACTAACTTAAGTTTACAAGCGGCAAACTTGTCGTTAGCTGGCCGGCTAGTGATAGTTAGTTGCTGTGTGTTGACATCCAGTAACCTCTCCTCCTCTGCTCTGATCCCTCTGTCGACTGTCAGGTTGAGGAGCCCCGCTGCTAACGTTGACGCTAGAGCTCTGTTTGTATTCACGATGAGGAGCCCTGAAGCCCACCAGACACACAGGAGCACACACACGTGTTTTACGTGGGACAGTAGGTGAATATAGACGCAGAAGGCTTGATCCGGACAGCTCTTGTGCTAATGGAGACCGACTCTCGGTTGTCAGATAACTCGGCGCTCGTTCAGGCGAATTACACGTGTGACGTCACGCCGTACAATAAACAACCAGAGTAAAAACTCCTCCATTTCAGTTTGTTTACTATTTTAGTTTTCTTTGTTAGAAAAACAACAAAAAAAGCTAAATCCTGCCCTGTTCATCAATGTGTCTTCTTGCTTATTTTTGTCTGAGGACAACAAAGATGATGGTCTCAAGTTATTCCAAAAACCTTCTGAAAAGCTATAATACCAATAACTTAGACAAACTGTCCAATAACAGTTATCTGTCTCCACCAAGTGGTGCACTGACATTCACTATAGCACAGTGCAAAACAATGTTGATTAATAACAGATTAACACGAATAATTTCATGCACAGCAAAACTGAGTTCAATTATTTATACGTCACTTTATTTAAAGTGTTTATGTGAGCACATTATTTATGACAGCAAAGACATATTAAATAACTAAATACAAATAGGTATATTAACTATTTTATATGTTCATATGATATATAGTTAATATATAATGACGATATATGATGATATGTCTGCAACTGGAGAGAATTGGAGGAATGTTAATTGAACCTGTACGGTAATTGTCTACAATAAGAAAAGAAAAGGTAAAATTGTCTACAATAAGAAAAGAATAGGAAAATATAAATATACGAATATATATATATAGATGTATTAATGACATCAGTTGAAGTCAGCTTTAAAAAGCAAATATCAGCATTGGTGCAATACATTTTACTAGTATTTTATGTCATGTTCTTTCTAGGAAAGCATCACTTTCCAATTAGCAACATAATAAAAGTGTAATGGTCTTAAACTACATAATATATTCATGTCTGCACCTATTTGTACTATTCCCCCAATTAAAAAATCCTGGTGCAGTCTTCGTTGGTAGATATTGTTGGGCTGATTAGGCAACATCTATGAAAATAAGTCTATCACAGCATTACATCACACTACATCAGAAACTACAAAGAAACTTGTGTTCTATTGAACTTGTCATGAAAAGCTTTGCTACAGTGACACCTAGAGGACAAGAGACATAATGGGAATAATTTCACAAATGCTAATAAAGATTGATCAGAAAAAAGATAGGAAACATAAAAAACACCTTTGAAACCATTTTAAAAAGGACACATTAGCTAGTTAGACCAGTGGCTAGTTCTCCTTGTGTTTAAATCGGTTGTCCTGGCTTGGCTGACGGGAGTGAAGCGAGTGTTGTGGAAGGCACACTGTCCGTCATGTCATGACTGGGTTGTCGCCACCTCCATAGTCTCTGTGGCTGAAACAAACAAGCACAACATTAGTATGTATGGTAGACATGCTTACATTTAGTGAACGTGACTATAGTTTTGCAACATGCATAACCTACAGTCTATACAAGTAGAATGGACATGGGCAGCAGGATTTCAATGGAGTGCAAAGAAAGGTGTACTAATAGTGTATATGAGTCACACTGGTCTCATACACTGAACATCTAAAATGTGGCTGTCTGAGAATAATATCTATCCTGAAGATGTCCATTCTACTGCCTCTAGCTCTACACAGACAGCTGTGCTTGTAGCTGTGCTGCGTTTGGCCGTTTACCTTCTTAACTGTACTATTACATCACTGAGCAGCTTTTTACTGTCCAGATAGACACCTTTGGCTCTGTGGATATAGGCAGAAATACACGTCGTCAGAGCCAATAATTTCAGAAGTAATTATTGTTACATCTGTCAGTATGTCTGCTGTGTCTAAGATTTATTCTGCTGCCATTTTGCGTCTGAAATTGTCACTGGGTGTCACAGCTCTGTCACTTCTATCTAGCTTTTTCCACCTTTCACTCACCTAATCAGTTCATTCAGTGCACCTGCCAGTCACACTCACCTCATCAGCTCATCACTCTCACCTGCTCACTCTGCCTCTTCACTATTTAAACCCCTGCCTCACACACACTCACTGCCAGATTGTTCTCTGCATTCATGCTACACTTTCCCGCATTCACCCAAGGACTGATTCCCTGTTGCCGACTACCTCGCCTTGCCTCTGCCCTGGTAACTTGCTCAGCCTTCTGTCCTTGACCACGAGAATCCTGTCGCTGTTCTTCCTGAGAATATTCTTCCTGCCGTGTGTTGAAGAAAATAAAGAACTCAAATCAAACAATTCCTGGTGTTGTCGTACTGCTCCTGGGTCCTAACTACACCCGTAACACTGTGGCTACAAAATGATTTGGGATGTCAGACTATTTTTGGCTATTTGGCAAAAATGAATAAAAATCTGCCTTTCCTTGCCCTAAACTATTTACATTATTCAGTCATAAGTATATGTTTTGTCCAACAGGTGGATACAAGCTGAAACTTTGGGTGTCATTTATCTTATTGTAGCCTTGGAGGCAGTGGAGAGGGTCTATGCTACTATTTCCTTACTTTACAATTAACAAAAAAACTAGGCAATAATTGTAACTATTATGCAGCATTATAGATGAAACTAAAGTGGGCATTTAACTTGCGTTGTCACTTAGTATGTTCTTACTTTGTCCTTCCGCCAGGGACACTGCCTCCCTGACCTCCAGTGTTATATCCACAACTTCCTCACTGGTCAGCTGCACTCCCAAAGCAGCAGGAGGCGCCACCTCCTCTGCTGCTGATGTAGCAGAGTGGCAAGAGTGGCAGTGCTTGGCCTCATGTACTGGAGCCTCTGATGCAGCAGAAAGGACCTCCAGGTCTGACCCAGAGGAGGCTGCTGCCAGCTGAGTCGTGTCCACAACTGCTGCAGCTTCACTGTGTGTTGTTGCCAAAGCTTCAACTGCCTCCTCTGTCGACGCTTCAGCTGCTGCGTCCTCCACCCATGTCTCAGCAGCAGATGTCGTCTCATCCACTGGAGCAGCTTCAGCAGCGGTGATGGCCTCCTCAGCTGGTGTAGCCTCCTCAGCAGGAGCTGCATCTTCAGGTGAGGTATCTGTAGAGGAGACAGCCTCCTCTGGAGCAGCTGCAGGGACCGCAGCCTGGTCTTCAGACTCAACCTCACCCACTTCCTCCACTGTCAGGGTTGAAGTTGCAGGTTCCTCAGACAGAGATATAGCCTCCTCCTCCTCAGCTGCTGCTGCTACAGGTGCAGGTGTTTCTTCTTTTACCAGCTCTTCAGCAGCTGGTGATTCTGCATCAGCCTCTGCAGACTGCAACTCTTCCTCAGTCACTAAGGTTCCCTCTTCAGCTTCTTCTTTAGCCAACACCTCTGGGGTTGCTTCCAGAACTTCTGGCTCCACCACCTCCAGTGTGAGGTCCAAACTTTTTCCGTCTTCCTCCATTTTCCGGACAGCTTTCACCAGACTTGTCTCACCAACAGAAGCTGCCGCTATCTCAACTGGAGAGCCGCCCAAGATCTTCACAGCAGTGAGCAGATCTGGCATCGACACAGGAGGACAGGAAGTAGTGGATGAGACATTTTAAATACAATGTGGACTTTAAGATGTAGACTATAAGTTCACATATTACAACAGCTCTTAACATTGTAGTTAAATGAGCTTCATGTGCAGTAAAATATGCTTTAATATCAATGTCTTAAACTCTTTTAAAAGCCTGGTACCATACAAAGCAGGACTGTTTAAACTTAAATTAGAGTGTTGCATTTTTCTATGAAACGCATGATGCTTTATCTAGAAGAGACTTACAAGGACCTTGACTGTGTACTTTACAACAATTTTAGATTAATATATTCATTTAATGACGGAAAAATGTTTCTGCAACAATTTTGACTATCAATTAATGGCAATCAATCATTTAATCAAACAAAAAATGGCTTGTTCCAGCTTTTCATATATGAGATTTTGCTGCTTTTCGAATTGGAAATTTAATATCTTTGAGTTGTGGACTGTTTGGTCACAAAAGTAATTGCCAGATTAACCAATAATGAAAATATCATTTGCATCAATTCAATAACACCTCAAGTAAACTAAACACGAGGCATGTGCAGCACATATCCTGGTATACACTAGTTTGCTTAATTTTTGTGTACATTTTACTTACAGCAGTTGTATTATTTTATGGTCTACAGTTACCACAGGTTCAGGAAATGGTCTACATGAGACTAACTGCCCAGTTCATGCTCCCTCTTCTGGTTTAACCTTTTTAGAAAAAGTGTCAAATGCTTTAATAGCACTTAATTTTAGTATAAAAGTTTCAAGTACCTAATAAAGACATTCCCTACACAAAGTTCAAATAATTTAGTTGCATAACATTTTTTTAAAATAGTAAACATCCCTGATGGCCACCAACAGTCAATCCACCAGGACATCCTAAAACAAGCATTGTAATCTAGGATTAGTCTTCACCGGCCTGTGACTTCACTTGTCACAATTAAGACTCAATCAAAAGCAAATATGAAAAATAAAATAAGTGTATGGTCAAGTTTTCTTATCCCTCAACTTATTAAACTGAACCGGTCACATCCATCTGACAGTTTCTCAGAGTGCTGCCTGCAGCTATATAGATCTATCTCTATAGAGATAGAGATAGAGATGTATAGATCTATAGATAGAGATATATAGATCTATATATATAGAGATATATAGATCTATATATATAGAGATATATAGATCTATATATATAGATATAGATCTATATATATAGAGATATATATATATAGAGATAGAGAGAGATATATATATATAGAGATAGAGAGAGATATATATATATAGAGATAGAGAGATATATCTCTATATCTCTATCTCTCTATAGAGAGATATATATAGATATAGAGATAGAGAGATATATCTCTATCTCTCTATAGAGAGATATATCTCTATCTCTCTATAGAGAGATATAGAGATAGAGATATATATATAGATATATATATAGATATATATATATAGATATATATATATAGATATATATATATATATAGAGATATATATATAGAGATATATAGAGATATATATATATATATATAGAGATATATATATATATATATAGAGATATATATATATAGAGATATAGATATATATATATAGAGATATAGATATATATATAGATATATATATAGATATATATATAGATATATATATAGATA